ACATGGTGCACAAAGTTTTGAAACCCTGGAGGAAAAAGTCGAGCAGCCGCCACTCTCCAAGAAGGCGCAATTGCCTTCGCTGCACGAGGACGGTCCGAAGAAGAACGGCATGGGCGACCTTGGATCACAGTTGCCTGGGATTACTTCCACTGCGATGCATCATGTTCACACTTTCTGCCTTCAAATTCCTCGAATCCGGCTTTGGAGAACAAACTTTCCACCATGAGCCGCCACTAGAAATTGCGACTCCCATCAGGGGCCGCCCATTATACAAAAGTTATAACATGGAGCCACCAGAATAGAACAGGGAATTATCCTGTCAGGAGCAGCACTGGATCGAGCGGGAGACCCTCCAGATGCAGGAGAAAGCCCTTGCATCGGCCTTCAGAAATGCCGTGGAGGCCAGAGAAGATTGTGGACGAGTACTCTGGGAGCCTTACTAATTGCATATACGCTTTTGGGGCTTCCTCATTATAAGTATATAGTATAGTATAGTATACCCCAAAATCCTATTCCAATTATTCAGGCCCCCATAATAGGTGGTGGATTTTGCATCGGGCAGCACATGCTGACGTCCACAGCCCAAGCTATTCAGTTGCAGTTCTCCAGCACAACCCAAACTCCAGCTGTCTGGAAAGCATGAGCTCCTTGAGCAGCAGAGAGAAAGTTGCATTTGCACGGTTGTGCCTTCTAACGAATGCACGACCAGCATCAGGTTCTCAAACAGTCCGTGTTGGAGGCCACTGATCGAGCAGTGCAGAGTTCACTTTCCACAGTGGACTCTGCCGTGAAGGACAGCGTAAAGTGTCGCAGGGTGCCAAGCCCGACTTGAGTGCAGCAGCATAGACTAGAGAGAGCACGCTTTCGAATAGCACATAAACAGGAATACGAGCAGTTACTAGCAACAACGAAACAAAAGTTGTAGTAGGTGTGCTCACGGAAATATACTGAAACCACCCATGTTAAGAAAAAGGCGCGCAATCCGCGTTTGTAGCGACTAGACAGCTGCCTGGCTTGCTGGCTAGTTAGAGTTAGAGTGGTACTGTAGTCGTCGTAGTCGTCGTAGTCGTCGTAGTGGCAGCAGCAGGACCAGTAGCAGTAACTAGCTTAGCTTAGCTGCAGCAGCAGCAGTCACAGCAGCAGGCAGCAGCCTCCGGCGTCGTCGTGGTCCGTCTTCGTCCTCGCTGTTGTTGCGGCCGCTGCGGCTACTGCTGCTGTTGCTGTTGCAGTGATAGTTGCAGCCGTAGTAGTCGTCGTCGTGCTCGTGCTAGTGACTGCTAGTGCTAGGCCTATCACTCGTACTACCACTGGTACGTAGTGTTTGAAGTCTCTCCGAGCTCGATTGAAGCAGAGGCTCTTCAACCCTGAAACACTAAAGTCCAGGACTCCAAAGCCGGGAAGCCTGAAGCCCTGAAGCCCTTCACTGACACATGCCTCGCCTCGTAAACCCCGAAAACAGCAGACGGGCAGGAGCTTGCGGTCTCTGACAGTCGCCCAACGGCAGACGGCATGTGGGAATTCGTAGGGCTACTACCTGCCTGGCTCGGGCTGCAGAGTCTTGAAGGTGATACCTGTAAGTCATTGGGTGGGATTTCGACCAGAATGTCCATTACCGCACTTCACCGATCGCGCATCCCCTCCTCGGCAGTTTTCGAGCAGATCACCGTGCAACATGGTCCCGAAAGACCCGGCACTACCACATCCTTCAGTCCAGCCCGACGTACCGAAGCTATGGAATAATATATATGTACATGTCTATATCTACCTCTTTATATATATATATATATATATATATATATACAGAGATATGCATGTGTATAAATATATGTATATATGTGTGTGTATATATATATATATATGCACTTGTAACAGAAAGGCGACCCCAAGCCCTCCAAGCTGCTAGAGGAGCCCTAAGCATGCAGTCACTGTGAAGATGCAGTAAACCCCGGAACACGGTATCTACTAACACAGCTTCGCCTGGATTCTAGGACGAAGCATCATGCGGACTGTCTTGTACCAGGAGTGTTACGCTTCAGCCTGTATTCGCGGTTTCTGGAGTCCTCCCGCAGGAGTGCTATTTCTTCTATTGCCTGTTGTCGTCCCTGTCACTTGAGTATGGCATGCTGCGACGTTGCATCCGGTTATGACAAACTAACTGCACTTTCAACTCTGGAATCGGCTGGCCCGGCGCCGAAGCTAGTCCAAATCAAGTGGGTGGGATCGGCGGAAGGCTTTGAGCTCAGGTTGGCCAAAGCACAACACTAAGTGTCATGCCATCTCGTTCACGGATGTGTGCAGTATGAGGCTTTAGTTTGCAAGTGACGCTTTGAATCGCATGGGACCTGCTCTGGCATCCACCCACCGAAAACATTGCACTCGAAAGCGGGCGCTGGCCTCACTGGCCAGTGGAGCCAGCCGCCAATCTGAGACAGCTAAGGTCGAAGGCCGAAGACGCGAAATAGCTCGAGCATGAGGACAGCGATTGCATTTGCCCGCACGATTTAGCCTATGTGTTCAGGGCAGTGCGATCGCAAAGCTGAGGTCATGGTGAGATGCAGAAAGAGCCTGTGAGATAGGATGCTCCAGTCATGACTAATGCCCATTGCAGCATGCCAGGACCCATAGCCGAGGACGTGCAGCAGCAAGCATGTCCCGAGGCACGTGACCCTGTTCTTGCACGGACTTGCTGTAGTGATCATCGAACATTGTGTCTCAACACTGCAGTAGCACTGCCGACAGAAAGCGCCAACAGAAAGCGCGGCCCGAGTATGTCAGAGCTACGGATCCGTCTGCAAGTTTGTTGGATCATACATCCCAGTCGTGCCCTTTCCCGGAAGAGACTCAAACCTTAAGGCAGGAGGCATGTCGAAATATTCCCGGCTGAATCTCGCTGTCTCTCCGATCCTACTTTAAGCTGCAATGTCTGTTTCAGCCGACGAAGCGTTTCAGTGAGATTCTCAACAAAAGCCGCTACTGCCGCTTGTAGTCACTGGGTGTCTGGTCAGCACCGGTGTAACGCCAGCAGGTTTATGGGACACTTCCAGCGCGACGCTCACACTTTCTGAAGCGATGCGACCTGCCAGTCTGCCTATGGGTGGAGCCCAGAATCAGTCGAAGGACGCTTTTGGTGGGAGTATGCCTCAGCCGGACTCAGCCTTTTTCTAGCCTACGCACCAGACAGCGAGATGCGCGTCCTGAAAAGTACTTCTTGACTCGACATCCTTTGCTTCAGAGGCGGCTCCCTCGAAGTTTTTGTGTTGCAAAACTAGGTTGCAAGGCTTGCCGAAGCTCCAAGACTCAACATTACAGTCGGCTTGAGCTTGCAAGCGATCGATACCAGTTGCCCCGTTTCAAGTTGCCTGGCCCGGCCGTCCCTAAGTCACAGACTTGAAAGAGCCGAGCACATGTGGGAGTTTCCGAAAATTAGGAGTGCCTTACTTTGGGTCCTTAAAAAATAAGGATCCTACTATTTAGGGTGCTATATTAGGGTCCCCTATTTTCGGAAACCCCCATGTACAGAAAGACAGACACACAGACCAACACCAGCAGATTGAAAAGTTTTCATGCTCAAGATGGCTCAGGGCGGAATTCGGGTACATCCCCGGTCCTTTCTGAAGATTTACACGGCCGCCTGGACTGGCTCTTAATATGATAGACGACTGCGTAGCAGGCTGTTTGCTTCCATGGCTGGAAGGATCTCCATAGAGAAAACCAGATATGCAGCGCCATGACAGGGAAGGCTTTGTGTTTCGCACCGTCCTGTTCTGGACAGCTACTCCTCTTGTCGGCAACGTGCACCGTGAGAGGGAGGGAAAGTGTTTTATGCTTAAAGCATCTTTAGATAGCGCTGGCGTCAGATGGGTTTCCCCATACAACTTGGTAGACACAGGCGTAATAGCATCAGACCGTTGTTCTGGAGTCCCATCTGAGCGAAGACTGCCACAACGAATTCGATGGCTCGACGGAGTTCTTGACATTCTGCGAGCTCCTGCAAGGCAGACTCTCAGGTGTCATGATCTTAGTCTGGTGCCTTTAGCAGGACCAAACGGTGTCGGACACAGGGCACAGGGTTGCGTTCCATTTATGCAACTCAGGCCACTGCAAACTGGGCGGCATGGTGTGAATTTCTGCAGCTGCTATGCTCCAGCTGGCCGTTGCACGTGGCGGCGCATCATAGGAGGCCGAAGGGGGCGATTGTTGATGCTGCTGCGACTGTTGCTTTTGCTGGTCGTGGTCGTGGTGGCCTTGTGCTGGTGTTCGGGGGTTGCTGTTTGTCTTGCTGCTGGCGATGCCGGCGCATCATGATGAGGGATGATCATATCCCCTTGGATGGTCCTATAATGCCGGTGATGACTACGCCGCTTATGACCATCCCTGTCGTCGTCATCAACATCAACATGACACGGGTGTCCTCACCCTCGTCAGCACCAGCATCGCCCGTAGTATTAATCATTCGTAACTGCTGCTGCCGGCTTTTGCATCATCATCACTATCTATCATCCATCGTCATCTTATTCTTCATCTTCAGATCAACTTCATCACCCATCGTCCTGATGTTATTCCTGTTGATCATTGTTTCCATGTTTCGCCATTATAACATTTATTACTAGTATTGCTAGTGCTCGTATTGCTTTTTTAATGTTAGCGTTAGTTTTCGTATTCGCATTAAGCAGCACTGAGAATTAGCAGTAGTCTCTCTTTGTTTGTCATATTGGTTATCATCACTTGCATCTTCAGTTTTGGCTTCTTCTTCGCCGTCTTGATCAGCATCGTTTGCATCTTCAGCTGTTCACAGCAAGAGAATGCGGCCACCACCGGCTCTGCCGAACAAGCAGATTCACGATGTCAGCAAGTCTATGACGATTCTGAAGCGAACCTTGCTGACTCGATGCTGGGTTCACTCTTCGCGCTGCGGTGTAGCAGAGAGGCAAAGGTGAACGGTCATGATACTGTATCGTGTCTGTTGTAGGTGCTGATGCGTCCTGCCGCAGGTATATCCTATGCATTTTCCGCCTGAGTGCCCGGCGAACGAAGGATCATCTGGGAAGGGCGGAAAGCAGAGTCTGCGAGTTAAGCTATCGATGTTTTAGAGGCTCACGGATGTTGGGTGGCTGCGTAATCCGGGGAACTTCTGGCCTCAACCAACTTGTCTGTCGATGGTTGTGGCGATGGCGGTGACGACGATCTTGGAGTCACAGGAGTACGTACTATGACGATTGGCTTCACTGTTGTGGAGAAGCAAAATCCTTTTCAGGACAAGGGTAGTTTGGTTTTCGTATTCGCTAGTGTGCGATTGAGATTACGAGTTCAAGGGTGTGAAAACGAGTCGGTGTCGTCTGGTGTCTTAAACGGGTTTCCTGGCTTGATGTAGGAGTCAGTGCACCAACCATGAAATGGCCCCACGGGCCTTATCCCTTTGTTTTGGCCCGATCCGGTAGGAATAGGCACAAATAGGAGCACCAGACTTTGGAACTTACTTATGGCCTGCCACTGCTGCTGCCGCTGCATTTCACTCCTTCCCGTGCTACTGCTACTGCTACTACTACTACTACTACTACTATGACTTCTACTAGGAAAAATCATCATCAAGACTCTTAATACTTATAACAATAGCTGCTCACTACTGCTGCTGCTGCTGCTACTAGTACTACTACTACTACTACTACTACTACTACTACTGCTACTACTACTACTACTACTATCACTACCACTACCACTACCACTACCACTACCACTACCACTACCACTACCACTACCACTACCACTACCACTACCACGACGACGACGACGACGACTACTACTACTACTACTGCTGCTACTGCTACTGCTACTGCTACTGCTACTGCTACTGCTACTACTACTACTACTACTACTACTACTACTATCGCTACTACTACTACTACTACTACTACTACTACTACTACTACTACTACGACTACTACGACTAAAACAGCCACTACCGCTACTACTACTATTACTACTACTACTACTACTACTACTACTACTACTGCCACTGCTACTACTACTACTACTACTGCTACTACTACTGCCACTGCTACTACTACTGCTGCTACTACTACTACTGCTACTACTATTGCTACTACCACCACCACCACCACCACTACTACCTCTACCTCTATCTCCACCTTCGACCTCGACCTCTACCTCGCCCTCTCCCTTTCCCTTTGCCTCTACCTGTCCCTCTGCCTCTACCTCTCCCTCTGCCTCTACCTCTACCTGCTACTACTAGTATTACTGCGACTAGCCAATTACTGCTCCAACTGCTACCACCACTGCCCCCAAAACCACCGCCGCCAGCAACCGACAACGGCTACTGCTACTGCCGCGGCTGCTGCTGTGGATTCGCGGTCATCATTGTGCTGATTAGTTGAACGGAGTGTCAGCGCAGTTTGCTTGTGCGAGCGCTTGTAGTACTGTTCGCTGCAGACGAATAGCCGCACCTAGCATGCGAGATGCTGCTTCTTGTGCTGTTTTTGCTTCCTGTGCTGGCTGGTATCTTCGCCTTTGCTTGTTCGGACTGCCAGCTGCCTATGTTGACAACTAGAAAGTTGGGGGTGCGATTCGCGAAGAGCTAGCCGCAGAAACTTGCCTCGGAATCTCTATGTTGCCCCATGGATCAACACAAGCAAGAATACTTTCATTTGTTGAAAGAGCAGCAACTGATTTACATAGTGCCTCTGCTATTCCCTTCTTTTTTTTGCTGTGCCTCCTGGTCGTCGCTGGGGTGGCCATCGCACGTTGTGTCGCTGCAGTGGCGTCACTGCCAATGCCGCTAGGTTGGTTCCATTCGTGGTTAGACCTGAAACGCTCTTGGCTCATTTTGTGTCTTGTGCCTTAGCGCTTGCAGCTGAGTCAACCTGACACGTATCACGATGAGAACAGACCAAAACTGGCGGCGAGATCTCCTCACCCCCTCACTCGAAGTTCGTCGGACCCAGAGAGGGGACACCAAATATTGCTGCAGGATGCCGAAAGTCATCCGACATCGGTAATGGCGACGAGACAGCCCAAGCTCTGGAGCTATTCAGGGCTGGGGATTAATGGCCGGGCAGGGACGGAGGATGGTTGCTGCAGTTGCTTCTAGAGCAGGAATTTCAGAAGATGCGATGTTTTGGAAAACTCGGCTTTGCAGGGCCGAGGCTGAATTTGCATGGGTGTGTAGAGATAGAAGAGCTGCAGCAGTTCAAGGCTTGCGTGGCGAACTCTCGACTCTCGAAATCCACGCATCTCCGCAGGAGGACATCGAGTTTGCATGCCAGCAGAAGTCGAGAGGTCTGCATCCGATCATGCCGGGGGAAAAGGAAAGCTGGTTCGCCAAAGGCGTTTCAAGATTCGTGGTGGCAGCTTGTGGTCAGGAACACACACACATATGTGTACATATATATATATATATACACATACGTATGTGTATGTATGTATGTATGTACACATATTATACCGTCGCTTGCCGTGGATTGTTACGATATTCCTCTCCCGCGCGTCACGTCGTAACTCTCAAACCCAATGGTGTCGCGGAATAGAGCAGTGAGGCGAAGAAAGGGATGCTTAATACTAATACTATTACTATTATTATGATTGCTATTGCTACTAGTACTATTACTATTACTATTACTATTACTATTACTATTATTATTACTACTATTATTCCTATTATTATTACTATTACTATTATTACTACTACTACTAGTACTACTACTACTACTACTACTACTACTACTACTACTACTACTACTACTACTACTACTACTACTACTACTACTACTACTACTACTACTACTACTACTACTACTACTACTACTACTACTAGTACTACTACTACTATTACTACTACTACTATACTACTACTACTACTACTCTACTACTACTACTACTACTACTACTACTACTACTACTACTACTACTACTACTTACTACTACTACTATACTACTATTACTATTACTATTACTATTACTATTACTATTACTATTACTAGTACTATTACTATTACTATTACTATTACTATTACTATTACTATTACTATTACTATTACTATTACTATTACTATTACTATTACTATTACTACTACTACTACTACTACTACTACTACTACTACTACTACTGCTACTACTACTACTGCTACTACTACTACTACTATTACTACTACTACTACTACTACTACTACTACTACTACTACTACTAGTACTACTACTATTACTATTACTATTACTATTACTATTACTATTACTATTACCATTACTGTTACTGTTACTAGTACTAGTACTAGTACTAGTACTAGTACTAGTACTAGTACTATTACTATTACTATTACTGCCTGAGAGCGCCACGCTTTGCAGGTCAGGACTTCGCCGAAGAGTCAGAGGCTCGTGAAGGTTTTTTTTCGGCGGGATGGGGGTTGCAGGGTTTAGGTATGAGGGGTTTCCTTGCACTCCAGTTCAAGATTTCCGGATTTATGGTTCAGGACTTAGGGTTGCCATTTCCGGCTTCAGGCTTGTGAGAGATGTCTATATATCAAGCACTCCGTAATGGATTGCACTGCATGCGGTCCACAAAGCAGAGCATTCTGCAGTTCACAGCTGATCGGCAGAGTGTCGGTTCAAAAGGGGTTTAGAGGTTTAGGGGAAATATTTTCCCGGCTGATTGCAAGAGTCCTGGATGCAAAAGGGGTTTCCCCAGTAGTGTTCTTATGGTTTCATACAAATTCGCGATGAGTCGATACTTGCAAAGCCTTGGGCTTGGGAGGATGGTGTAGGTGGTCATCCCACCTGGTGCTGATGTTATGGCAAGGTGTTCCCGACCCCTCAACCAACATGGTATTCTGGAGGCAACCGCTAAGCGAAAAGAGGGCTCAAACAAAAAAAGAAATCTAGAGCAGCAGGCTGGGTTAAGGGTTTAGGGGCTGCAGCCCTCCCCAGAAATGGATTTAGGGTTGTTATTTTCGGCTTCGGCCTCATGCCTGTGCAGCACAGAGAGATGGTGAGACCTCATTGACTTTCCAAGACATGCTGGGAAATTGTTCATCGAGTCCGAAATCAATTGAAAAATTGAACCGTGTGTACCGCGTACTTGCTTGTCATATATTTTGCATACGTTAATCCGTGCACCAGCGTGGCAATGACACAAAGCAGCCATACATCTGATGACTGCAGATGAGGCAAGGTGAGAACACATTCGCTATTATAGGGGCCATGCTACGTGCGTCTTTCCCAGCAGGCGGAAAGATCAGCCCTGAATGCTATAGTTTGAAGCAGCACCAACCTGTTGTCCGGCGCAGGTGTCCGCTACGCTAAGCAAGAAGAGCAGCATCGGAGCTGCGATTGAGGACGTCGCTTGAGGTCTCTCCTAGCTAACCCCCGTGGCTGAAGCTGCGCTCCGCTTCTAGGGACGCTTTGCAGCCTAACCGTACCAGCTTAGGTACCGCAGCATCTCGTAACAGCCGCAGCATGTGCAATCTGAGGGCCCAGCTTGAGAAGCGGTCGCTCGCCCGACGTGGAGGCCTTCCTTGTGAGGGCGAGCCTTGAACGGTCTAAGCCTGAGCTCGGGTGCAGGCCACGAACTCTTCCAAACGGCGTGGCCTGGCTGAATGCTGGCGGGCTCAAAGCGCGGAGCCGTTGGTCTCAGGGTTTCCGAGCCTCTAATGAACATAGGGCAAAACCCGAACCGAACCCTCGTGCCTGTGAGGAAGCAAGAAAATGCTCGGCAGCTTCATCAAGGCCAGGACATCAGCTGATCTCTCTCCTGTGGGGCTCATTTTCCTTGAGCGTTCCGGCCTGGAATCTGTCGGACTTAGGACTTACAGTTCGAGGTCTTGTTGAATACGAGTCCAGGAAGTCTGATGTTTCACAGATTGCCTGAGGCGACAGGTAGAAAGCACGTTGCAGGACACTGGTAGGACTGCAGAAGGCGCAGATAAGATTTTTCTGCGGCTGACCGGGTGGGACTGATCCTTGCACTTTCGCTTCTCCATTTACACCTGCATGAGTTGTCATTATCTCAGAGTTGTCGTTGTTTCACGCTTGCAGCTTTGTGCAGAGTTCCGAAAGGGACTATCCGATCTTCTAGGGGAAGCAGGGCACGGGAATTGGGAGGTGGACAAGAAGAGCAATGCCGATCATGACCAGAATGCTTGGAACAAGCAGCTCAGTTGCACTACAGGGCTCTTGGGCTGGGGCCGACGCCATTCTGTCGGACTTGCTACGTTTGCCTCGACCAGAATTCCGTGACCATTGTTTGCAAGTGCTACTTGTACGGCCCATTAGCTTCCTATTATCTTCCAAAGTCCCCACCGGCTGAGGGCACCAGGCTTGAGTTTAAAGCGAAGCTTATCCGAACTCATTGTTCTCGTCCTGCGGCTGTCCGGATTGCAACCAAGCGCGAACTTCAAGAGAATTGAATAGAATAGAAGTTGCTCAGCTTCACTCCGGCTGCGGCGGAGGGAGGAAGAAGAGCATGGCAGGGGAGGCCCGGAGGCCCGCTCGCTGTGTTCAACTTTTTTAGTCCGTTTGACCAGGAACACCTTAGTTTCACATGAAGCTTTGGGACAAACTGCTGCGAGATTCCAGCATAAGGGCGGGGGTCCCTGCACTGTGGCATGCCACAGGACAACATGAGATGCTGAGCATGCATGTCCGGTATAGCACAACATTTCCAAGGATACTAACCCAACACTGATGCGAACGACAGCGACGCGTCACGGAATTCATACGAGACACTGTGACGCAGCACCGCAAGGCAGCGCATTGGGTCTCGGGACACTTGGGATCTTGAGCCTGTTCACTCAGCACAGGCTGCGGCGCGGCCTCCTTGCCTTTGTGACGGGCAGCTACATGGCAAACTGCGTGTCCATGGTCGTCTTGACTCTTGGCATCGGAGAGCCAGCTTCATCGGAGAGCTGGCTTTGGAGACTGAAATGACTTTTGGCGTTGCAGCTTCGATGTTACAGAGTTCGCTGAGGCTCGATGCCTACCTAACCTGTTACGACATCGACACTCGAGCGAACGGCCAACCTACTCCTGCAATCATCAGCCAGCTGCTGGACATTTGCCTGAGCGTGCTACTTGTCCAGACAAGCTTTCGTGGGTTCCGCCATGTTACCACTCCGGTGGCTTGGACTGGGTTCTCGACATGGGACTTTGCATTTTGTAGTTGAAAACCTTTGAAGGTTGGGAGGCAATTGAAAACCTCTGAAGGTTCGGAGGCTGGACAATGTTCAACAGCAAATCACAGAGCCATGAGGGCATGCAATCATTCCCTCCCCATGCAGTTTCATCCAATCAGCGGGCTGCAGGTACACGCTGGAGATTATTCTCCTGTGCACGGCACATGGGTGCCTGAATATGCGGGCAATCCTGCTGGACTGGGTCTTCTTGCTCCTCCGGCAGCAGAGTTTCGAGCAGTTGCCTCCACAACTGGAGCTCGGCAGAGTGCCAGCCCCTGCTCGGAAAAGCGCGTGTCACGGGTTTGTCGGAAAGCTGATTTCCCTGAAGAAGCCTCCAGTCTTGTGCTCCGAAACATAGATGTGCCTGCGATCAAGGTTGGATTTGCTCGTGATTTGCTGCGGCTATGCTGCCCGGCACAGGATATCACAAGCCTCTTGCAGGGCTTGGTTATGCTTGGGTCTAGGAAACTTGTTGAACATCCGTGTGGGATGCATCTTGTCACTCAAGTCGTTAGTTCGCCGAGTAACCACGACTTTGGAGGCTTGAGGGTCATGTGCTTGAAGGCTTTGGAGCAGGGTTCCGATCCTACACTGGAAGCCGCAGCGCGTGGATGTCGTCAGGTCGAGGCATCCCTGCGAGTCATGAGCAGCGAAGTAGATCTGACGAACTTTGGAATCATCCGTGCGCTTCGAGTGGCCCGGATAATCCGCGTCTTGGGCTGCACGACAACATGAAGTATGGTGATATGTTATGCAACGGAGAATGTGTAGCTCCACTAGATTCTACTAGTGCAGCACCACATCCACGAACTAGTAGTAGTAGTAGTAGTAGTAGTAGTAGTAGTAGTAGTAGTAGTAGTAGTAGTAGTAGTAGTAGTAGTAGTAGTAGTAGTAGTAGTAGTAGTAGTAGTAGTAGTAGTAGTAGTAGTAGTAGTAGTAGTAGTAGTAGTATTAGTAGTAGTATATAGCAGCAGTATAGTACAAGAAGTAGTAGTACTAATGTTGATAATAGTAATAGTAGTGCTGGCGCCGGCACTCGGACTCGTGCTCGTGCTGCTAGTGCTAGTGATGGTAGTGGTCGTCGTCATGATCGTAGTATTTGAGGGAATACCGTGGTGGTGGTGCTGGTGCTGGTGCTGGTGCTGGTGCTGGTGCTGGTGCTGGTGCTGGTGGTGCTGGTGCTGGTGCTGGGCGAAACGCCCTTGGGGCTGGACAAATGTCATGTTCTTCTCTCAAAATCGTTCAAGTTGACAAGCATCAACAGTGCTGTTTTGCAACGACGATGCTTCAGTACTTTAACCACAAGCGCCAGCAGTAGCCGTGATAAAATCAGTTCATCGCGCTTCGTGGCAGTCGTCACCGTTGCAGTCGATGTAGCAGCAGTTGCAGTAGCCTTACGGTCAAGGTACCCGTGCCGAATTACCAGTCGCAGTAGCAGTTGTCGAAGAACTAGTAGTAGTAGAAGTAGTAGTAGCAGTAGTAGTAGTAGTAGTAGTAGTAGTAGTAGCCGTAGCGGTAGCGGTAGAGGTAGCAGGTAGCAGGTAGCAGGTAGCAGTAGCAGGTAGCAGTAGCCGTAGGAGTTGTGGCAGCAGCAGCAGTAGCTGTTGTAGCGACAGAAGCAGTGGCGGAAGCTTAGCGGGCAGGTCGCAACGACACCCGATCATTGAACCTGAGCCCCAACAGGTCGCGTCCAGTCCCCCGCACTAGAACCAACAATGAAGTGGCAGCAGTAGTAGTTGTCGTAGTAGTAGCAGCAGTAGTAGTAGTAGTAGTAGTGGTGGTAGTAGTGGCCGTCGAGGATCCCAACCTGGAGCCCAGGTGTTACTCGGCTCCTGCGGAAGAGTCACGACCTGCGAGAGCACCTCTGAGCAGAATTTCGGGTTCCAGCTTGGGATGAGGATTGGGACACAAAAACTATTGAAGATTTGTCAGGCTCCGAGACTGACGACCATGAAACAAGCAACAAGAAGTGTAGATATGTATGTATGTATGTATGTATGTATGAGGTATCTGCCAGGAATGTACGATTGTGAGAAGGCGGACGTGAGGTCATTGTGCGTTGCCCTGGTCACTGCCATGTTCATTGCATCCATTATTCCAATGGCGCCACGTAAGCGCCAGCCACTGCTGCCGCTGTTATATACTACTACTGCTGCTACTGTTAGGGCCATCGCTACCACGACGGCGACTCCCACTCCTTCTCCTCGTACTCCCATGGCCACGGCTACTGCTACTGCTTCATATTTATGCCATTTAGCGCAGTTGTCGAACCGATGCTGCTGACCACTGGAGTTGCATTCGTTGTGAGTCTGTGGCGTGCGGCCAGGCTCCGAAAATTGGTCAATATGATGGCCACGTGTGTGCGGACACTGATCTGGTCGTTCATCTTCTGCTTCGCCATGATGTGACCTACCTGCTCTGGGCTAGGTTTGTTACGGACTTGAAGCTACAGGTTTTCGAAATACAGCTCAGCTCAGACAACATCCGAGGCTTCGGGGCTTAAGATCCACAGCCAGCCGTACGGGCACCGGCCTTGGGGCTCTTAAATTGGTAGATAGGATCTATATTAAGCTACAGGTCACACACTGTTGCAGCCTCAAAGCATAGCCCGGGCACAACTACCACATGCACCGTTCTTGATGTCGCAGGGTCTTCTCATCTTTCAGGCCCAAACTGTAGTACGACTTTAGCAAGCTGTCGTCCACCATAAATAAATAAATGTAAATATACGTAAGTGTGTATATCTATATATATATATACACACACATCTCTGTGTGTGTCTGTGCGAGTGCATGCACGTGCGTGTTCCCTTTTACCGGATTTCACACAAGTGAAATGCCAGGTTATCGTCTGGCTTGTTTGCGACTCCCTCTCCCACGGGTGTTGATGCGAAGTCCAGGTTCAAAGTAAGTCAGCTTGATGGGTTCCTTGCTTTCGGGAACATGGCTTCTGGCTGAGTTGGCAAGGCCGAACTGACCGAACCATTCCTGATTTCGGAAACTCAGGACGTTCTGGTCAATGCTGATCGTAGAGATCGTGCATCCGCAACCTGCCAAGTTTGTGCACAGTGCCCCTCAGCTTTTTTGTGATATGGAACTCTTGGAAACGCAAGATAGTGCAGCTCATCACGGCCAGGCATGTGAAGCAACTGAGCGATCTGGAAGCCTGCGACCAGTGCCGGCGGGCAACTTCCTCCGAACCTTCGCTCAAGCTTTCCGGAGCGACTGAGTCATAAGTTTCGAACCATGACTCCTGTTCTCGATATGATTCGGGCTTCCAGACTATTCAGTATTCTACCGATAAGAACCAGGGTTTTAGGAACAGAGATTTTGAGGAGAGGCCGCTGACACAATTCTGCGAGTGGACTTCTGCTGCGAAGTAGTAAGACCCAGGGTGGAGATGCGGCATGCATTGATACTGCAGCCGCAGCAGAGTACGGATGGTGATAGGCCTTTAGTGCAGCATCGGCGCAGGTGTGGTGGCAGAAAATCTGGCCATTCTATTCATGAGTTCCACAAAACGGAAATTGCACAAACGGCCTTCTGCAGAATTTTCTCGGCCAGAGGTCATGGATGCCAACTTGCTCCTCTTCAAGTTGCCTAGCAGCAAGCACTCCCAAATGTATAAGTCGTGTCTGTGTATATACATATGTATGTCAATGTGTGTAGGTGGGCAGGCGAGCGGACAGGCAGGCGGACGGGCAGGCAGGCAGGCAGACACACAGCAGACGAAGAGAGAGAGGGAGAGAGAGAGAGAGAGAGAGAGAGAGAGAGAAAGAAAGATTCGTTCGTTCGTTCATTCATTCTTCCAATCCATTCCATGCCATTCCATGCCATTCCATTCCTTCATTCATTCATTCAGCCTTGCATTGATTTGTTTATTTAGATAAGACATGCATGCATGCATGCATGCATGTCTCCATGCACGCAACCCGACATTAACATGCGCAAATCTTATGGCAACTCCGGTATGCCATGACGTAGTAGAAGTGCAGTACAGTAATGGAGTATGTTTTTGCGTGATTTTCGGGGTTCTGGTGCTGTGACTTTATTCCACATGCTTGTCTTTGGAAGCATGGCTTGTTCTTGAAGGAGCAGTTAGGAGGCGCTGGTCAGGTAACGTTGTCGTGCGAGGTGCACCATCTGTGCCAAAAGATCGGACGGACACCATGTAGACGAGACATGCTGGAAAATGCTGGGCTGAGGACCGTCATTGCTGGGGATAGCTGGGGCCAGATCGCAGTGCCTGTGATAGAGGCGTTTGGGATGGATTCGGTCGGCTCCGAGCCCGCCGTAGTGCTTGACGGACATGATGGACTAGGACCCAGAGTAGGCCCTTATTCCCTTTTTTAGGGTTCAGGCTCCCTTATAAGCCCCTTTAAACCAAAAAGGGCATCCTTTTATGCCTGGGTTACTCTTGGGTCTAGTGGACGATTTCCAAGAGGTGTAGAACAGTGGAGGGTTTACGGAAAGCATGTGAGCTGTGCCATGACCTGACACAAGCGGCTGACAGTCAATCCTCACCTGGACGAAATCTTGAAGTTGGCATAAGCAACCAGGGCAAAAACCTGACAGAGTGATCGAAAAAGTTTGGGAAACCCTTCGACCTTCAGAATCAGACTTAAGTCCTTCGCTTGTTGCATCTGTGTTCCTATAATCCTCCATGAGCGTCACACTCCACCTCTCTGTATTCGCATCTGAGAGATCGGTTATCTGGTCATCCAGTCCTGTGATCACCAGCTTTGCCAAAGCAGGTGGCAAAGAACTGCAAACGGTTAGGTCAGCACTGTCCCAGAGCAGCGCGCATTGTCGGGGGGGGGGGGGGGGGGGGGGGTGGTGGTCTGCAGGGCGTAAAACATGCCATGGTGTACCCGATGTTTAGTAGACTCCCTCAAATATCAATCATCTCCGGTTTGTGTCGGGAGGTCAGTGGGCATAACCGTCCTCACCATATATTCCGGCCAGCAAGAATCCGCATCAGTGACCTGTGATGCCCTGCAGACTCTACAGTCCTAGAAAGCTAATATAGGGGCTTCAATAATTACCAATAGAAGTTGCGGCTTCCTGATTATAGGTATAGTATAATGGGCCCCAACGCCCTATATTAAGGCCCCGATATTCGGCCAGCTTGAAAGCAAGTTGTTTGATGTTCAGCAGCTAGCAGGCCAACCCTGGCACTGCGGTGATCTTCATGGGCTCTCTTTTGACGCTGGTCTTTGGCGTCGGGAGACCCAATGTTGGTTTAATGTATGCGTTTGTTCCTGGTTTTGGTCTTGTCATTATACGTCATTATTATGATCACTTTTACAATTACTATAGTTTTAGTACTATTGTTGTTTTTATTCACATTATTGCTATTCTCAGTCTAGTACTATTTTTTATTCTTTTTATGATTCTGAATGGTTTATCGTCTTATTGTTATTGTTATTCCTAGTCTTATTCCAACTCTGTATTTCTTCTTATTATGTTTGCAATTACTTTTGGCTCTGCAGACCTTGGGTTTTGAGGCTGCGAGCTGTCTGGGTAGGGAGGCTGATTATGTAGCCCGTCCTGATGCGCCAAATTGGGAACCAGCAGTGCCAAGCTTTAAATACAGAGGAGTTTGCAGAGGCTTTGACACACAGATGCGTGTTTTCGCGCAGCTGTGCATATGGAGGTGCGCACTATATGTATACGCACGTGTGTCTGTGTGTACATGTGTATATATACATACAGATATGTATACATGTGGGTAGATGTTTGTATATCGGCACCGTCGTGCTATACGGTTCCACCAAGAGGACAAACAAGTTAACAAGCAGGCAAACAGGCAAGAATCAACCACACGAACAAGGCCACAAAGAAAAGGCAAACATACAACCGACCAAACAAACAAGAGGGATGGCTTCGAAAGACGAAATCTGTAGTACACATGATGCAAGTCATGGCGGTTGCCGGAAAAGTATGTCACTTGCAGTTACACTCATCAGATGTTGTGCGCTGAGGTTTTGAACTTGTGCCTGGGCTCTGCATTCAGATAGCACTAGGCCTAGAAGTAGACAGCGAAGCCAGAGCTCGTGTGCAGGCTGGGATAGTCAGTATTGGTACTAGCAGAAGAGATACGAAACTTTCGCTCCAGTCAAGGTTCATTAGTAGCGAAGTTCATGCTCTTTCACGAATGTTCTGTGCATCACTGCCTGGCTTGAATCACTTTTCCGCACAATTGCATGCAGGGATGGCCCGAGCTTCCAGCTGTTGAGGCAGTCTAAGAATAGTTGGATGTGCTCCGAGTCATATACTGATGATCCACAGAAGGCTTCAAAGGCATGAGGACACCGTGCCATGCAGATTTAAGACTTGCCATTTCGGCGACTACGGTTCCGACTGACGTTGTTGGCACGACTCGTACCAACGGCAATCAAAGTCCATGTTGAATCTAGCAGTATTCACAACAACGACTTCCAGAAGCGTGCATCTTGGCATAAACTAAAAACACTCGGCACCAGGATCGTTGCTGTGGTGGTGGACACATTTGCGGAAGCACGTGAACGTGATGTCTTGAGCTTAGCGGAGGCCGGTTGGGATCCGAATAAAGGTATCTGGGCGGATCTCGCAGCAGGTGATATGTACTTGTCATATGTGTATATGTATATATATATATATGCATATGCACCGCAGGTATCAGAAAACTTGTTATCATCTCGGCTATCCGACCATCGCCGTTACTGCTACCAGTGTTCTGCTGGCACGAGGACTGCATGTATCATCAACAGAAGCACCGGCCGGCTTCGCCATCACCATCGTCAGTGTCTTCCCATGCTACAGTCATTGGCCTGTCATCCCCAAGTTCAGAGACTGCAGAGGGATTCGATGTAGCCCGTCAGATCAAGGAAGTACGGCATGTATTACATTGATGAGCTGAAACCTACGAGAAATCCACACTCGCCAGGTGATCGTTGCATACCAGATTCAATAGCTGGGGACAGCACCATTGGAAATTGCGTTCAAATGAAGGAGTTGGAGAACGAGATTGAGATCGACAAGCGCCTCCTTCAGAGTCTTCGTCCTGATTCGCTGTTAGGAGTCGGTGAGCTTAGATTACCGACGGTAAGTTCCCCTCTGGCAGACTGCTTCTCAGTTGAACAGAAACCAGAGGGGCGAGCATTTGGGCATGTTTGTTTCGAGGGGGGTTGAAGCTGCTTACAGCCCTGAGAACGAAGTGCAAGGAAAATCTTCGAGAGGATCGACGAGGATGGGAGCCGCCTGGATCACAGGGGCTGCCACTTCAGATCATTTTTCCCGGTGTCGGTTCTTTTTGTATTTGTTTTGTCTGCGCTTCTGCTCGGGTTCTGTTTGCTTAAATCGTGTGGTAGATATGAAGCTCCAAACACCGAAAATCAAGAAGCTTTTCATGGTACTGGTGAGTATCGGGCTGGAGCATACCCGGCTCCAGACACGTCGGCCCTGACTTTGATTCCATGAGTTCCTACTTTGTAGCTTAGTTTCGGTTTTTCTATGCAGGGGTTGCGGGCTCAAGGTTTATACAGGCGAATGGGGAGTTGAGAGACGTCCTGGCATGTTCAACCACGACAAACAAAGGTCGTCTCGTGATCGTAAATATCCCGTCGTGGCAAGCGTGTCGTTCCAGCGCATGAAAGTGAGCTGCCGCGCTTTAGGTTCGGTTGCCGCAAGCCTGGGAATATGCCGATTTTGTGGCGGCAACGCGTTATGACTTCCCCCCGAGCACTCAGGTGGCGACCTCACGCTGCAAGAAATCATTGCGGGTGCCCGTCGGGTCTCTCGATGGCAAAACGTAGAACTTCCGAGGCGTCAATGTAGGGATTTCGAAATCTGAATCATCAGCCAGAGTCGTTCTGCTCTGTTCTGCTCCCCAACTTTCGCGACCATCTGAAAAGTCTAACCAAAGCTTTGCAGAGGCGCAAGTGAAACACGACTGCATGAAACAGCCGTTAGTATGCAAAACACTAAACTTGCGATGCGGGAACCAAAAGAACTCACAAGAACCGGACCTTCTCAGCTGGGTTCTTTGCGTGAAGCTACCATAGGAATAACGGTAGCGTTTTCCGCTACCTCAACTCCTCAGATCAAGCTTCCTAGCATCGTATAACAACCATAAATCAATACATAACAGGTAGAGAGAGCGAGAGAGAGAGAGAGAGAGAGAGAGAGAGATGTATATAGACATGCAAACATACATACGTACATACATCCCATACATCCTTCTTTTATCTTTCTGAAACCCCATAAACCCTTATGAATACCCAGTCCAACTTCGCACAGCTCTGCCCAGATCTTCCAAGGATACCGAGTTCCAAAGCCGCCTGCGTGTCATGGACATCGATGAGGCTGGGCGTTTAAATTTCAGGGTGCGTTCGTAACCGGGCTGCTGGACAACGAGGCCTGCTGCAAAAGGGTGCGTTCGAGTTGAGGGTTTTTCAGTGTTGAATTCCGGATGAGCACGAAGTTCCGTCTTGTAAGTGTGGACACCAGACGATCCCACCGAAACTGTGATAAGGGTCGCTCCGTAGAACGGGGACCAAATCTCCGCCCAGCATGAGTCCTCTACTGATCGCATCGTTGTGTGCGCAGCTCGTCTGAGGCGTATGGTACGTATTGGTTATTCTGTCTATGTCAGACTACTGCTGCTCATAGGACTCGTCTTTATGCGTTGTTATCTTAAGGTAGTAACTAGTGCAAACATAAGTAAACAAACTAATAACTACAACACTAATATATATATATATATATAGATATATAGATATAGATATATATATATATATATATACATATATATATATATATATATGTATATATATGTACACACATGCGTACATACATACATACATACATACACATATGCCTACACCCAGGGAGCCCTAAGCCTCTGAAAAATGACATATCTGCACGAACCCACGTTCACCTCCACCTGACCACGCAGCACGAAACCTGCCTGGCATGTCCGAATGCAAGCGCCGAAACTCGAAGCCTGCGCTCTTATTATAATATGTCAAATGTTATTGTATTATGCGTCTATTATATAATATTGCCTTCTATCTGTCTATCTATCTATCTGCACATATTACTGGCTATAGATGCATACGTATATGTGTGTCTATATACACTGTCTATTTGAAGTAAAAGGTCGACCTGGAGCAGCTCTTCGAGATGATCGATGCAGACGGTTCTTTGACTTCAATGGGTCTCTCTCCCTGCTTGTCTGGAGAGTGGCTCTTCTTGGGTTTAGGGTTTAGAGTCTGGAGTTTAGGCTTTAGGGTTTGGGGTTCAGAGTTTAGGGTTTGGGGCTGAGGTGGGTCTCAAAATTGAAGAGAGGGTTTTGGAGCGAGAAGGACAGCCCCGGATCTCCGATGTTTGTGTACGGCATTCACAGACAGCCGACTGACACCCCCCGAAATCCTAAATCATATCCTACAGCACTAGTCGTATGCGCTGGAGGCTTCGGCTGTTGCTTGGCTTCCTACTCAGACTAGGGATCTAAATCGTAAAGTTAAAGTTATCACATGCCTGGCCGTCACAACCACCTCCAAGGGTGAGTGACTGAAGCCGTAAACCGCAAGAAGCTGAAGACTGACACCAAGACCCTAAGCTCCGAATTCCCAGCCAAGGCTGAAACCAATCAACTCTAAACCCTAAGCCGTTCTACCTTGAACGCTAAACCTCAGCCCTCAATGTCCGACTGTGATCCTGCCTTTCGGGCTTGTTTCTGCGAAGTACGAGGCAAACGAGTGCTCGAGTGTGCCGAGACTCTCAGGATCGGGTTCCGTGGAAGCCTCGGAGTTCATCGTTCCTTTGAGCAGATGGGTGCACGACTCCAAGAGCCTTATCTGCTAGCATCGAGTGTGGGCTGTGCTTTAGGGTATGGGGTTGAGAGTGAAGATGGGTAGTATAGGGGCCTGAACAATTGCCTATACTATTTTTGGTGTTCCTTATTATTGCTATGATGTAATGGGCCCTAAAACCCTGTTCGAATTATTTATAGTAGCTTTCCAGACTCACGGGTTTGAGGGTTACTGGGAGTGGGGAGTGGGTTCTCTGTTGGTTGAGGCGTAGTTTCTGTTCATAACCAGCCAGTGAGCATAGGGAGATGTCTAGCTTATTCCGGGGATAATGTTGCAGCTTCCGGTCGGAATGCGCTTTCGGTTCATTTCGGGCACATGTCGGTCACTGGGCTGCTCGGTTCATGACGGTTCTGCACTCCCGGATGTAGGATTCGGCCGCTTTTTGTCCGAGTTGGAGCTTCGGGCTTCTGGGATTCTTGCGCAGCTTCTTCCAAGGACAGCCCCTCGCTTCATCAAGTACAACATGCTGCGGACCATGCACCAGCAAGAAGAGCCACCTGCATGCTATAGAACATGAGAGGGTACAGAATTCAATAGATGACGAGAAGGTGAGTTGCAGACCGCCTATCTCAATGCGCGGGGCCTCTGCTTCATTGGCCGTTCTTCCGGCCATTGTGCCCAGGCTCATGCACACGTGCGAGGCTCGTTTCGTCACTTGGAAGAACTTAGCCGACTTCGTGTCCACTTGCCAAGTGGTGTGTGTTAATTGGCATCCGGTAGATTTTGAGGCGCTCCTTACCGAAAAGCTGGACGCGACACTCGTCTCAGAATGGCGAGGTCGGTGTGATTCTGCAGGTAACCCATTTTGCTTTTGGTGCCGGGTTGATCGTGCGAAAGGACCGTCGATAAATTGATGGGCGTGCTTGGGTTAGGGTGCAGTAGGCTGCAGCCGAAATGTGTACAGCTGGGGCCTAAGGTGTTTTGAGAGGCAGTCAACACGTGCTGATGGCAATTGTATGTGCAATGGTGATAGGGCCACACTGGAAGCCGGTATCAGGTTTAGGAGTGGGGTGCACTCAGGCTGCTTTGCATTTCTGGGTCCAACCAGCTACGAGTGAACCCAGACTGGCACGTGCTGTGCTCATCATTCTGCGGTAACAGAGCAGACGCTTCAACACAAAGTGCCGGAATGCCGTTTGTTGGTCTGGATGGAATCTGGTATCACCAAAGAGCCAACATCGCCAAGGATAGCACATTCTCTCGGAGGCTGCAATACTCCTTGGGTCAGGCAAGTGTCGGGTTCTGAACTACTGCAAGCTCGGCTTTGGATTTCCACAACAAGTCAGGACTGAAGGATGTGATGCTAAAGGCGCCGAAACGTGCTAAAAATGGCGGGACGTATAGGAACTGCAGTTCTGGCCCATCATTTCCCTCGACGTCTGGAGCTTGAGACAAGTGTGAATCTGCCGGAGCCATCCGATAGAACAACCTGCAAGTGACTCCTCGGTGAGAGATTATGCTGGACTATGCCAACCAACGATTCCAATATGATTTCGGACTTTGTTTTCGGTGTGCTGTCTGCTCTGCGTGCGGGTGTATGTAGTCATATGGAGTCTGAAAGGACATATCTACCCAACACATGTGTATTTCTTGGTCTGTCGATCTATCTGCCGGTCTATTTGTCTCTGTATCTGTCATCTGTCTAGTGGTCCCTTTCCGTTTCCCTTTCCTCATGTTTCCGTATGTCGGATCAACCTAATCTCTTTTGGGCCAAGAGGGCCGCCGGGTTCGTAACTGCAGACGTTTGGTTCGCCCAGAAATGTATCTGCCGCCTGTCCGAGGGTTTCGAGAGACTGTGCTTGGTCGTTGCCTAGTATAGGGGCACAAATATTTACCATTATTATTTCGGGGGTTCCTTATTAGTATAATCTACCCCAGAACCCCATTCTAACATTCAGGCCCCTATGGTAAACCCATCTTTGCGCGCAGGTCCTCCGACACCAAGAGCGGCTGGGATTCGACGACCCTGTGCCCGTCAGGCCACTGACTGATGCCGTTTCTTGCCCTTCCTGAGCTTGATTGCAAAGCCTCTCAGAGTCTCTTTAGGGTCTACGGTTTAGGGTTTATGGCTGGCCGGCACCTCAGTCCGTGCTGAAAAAGGGTCTTCCATAGGTGAAAGCAGATTCCTGAGCTTCCAGCACACCGAGTCCTTCGAGGCGGGCCTTGCATCAGAGAGCCCATGTTGGCAGGTTTTTCTGCGGCTTTCTGTGTCATGCACGACAGTGTAAGGGCCTACCAACAATCAGAACTCTGACCGCTTCCGGCAGTCTTTACACTCATCTCAGCTCTCACTGGTCAGCCTTCTCTTTCTTTGCTGCGTCCTTCACTCGTTCTCCTCTACAATCGCAAAGAGCCGGAGCGCCCAGCCAGGAGAAGGCGGCTCCAGCAGGCTGGAGATCGGGTTGCCAAGCTGATGGATTTTGAGTCTCGCACAGATGTCGCCCATCATCCCATTAACTTCGTCTGGCGCTCACGGCATCCGTCCCGTGAACCTGAACTGGTAATAATGACACTAGTTGCGCTCTGACGACATTCGACAAAGTGAGCGCTTCATCGTGCAGCCCCCATCCGACAAGGCATCTTGCCGTTGCCATCGATCGCTGCTGCGAAGAGGGTGGGACGGCGCATGGAAAGTCTACGAGTACGCGTCTGACTGGTGCACAGTAGAAGGAACAAAGGTGGCATCGGCATAGGAGTGAGTAAAGAGTGGATGTATTCGATACAGTCGTTTCAGTTGCGAAAGGCCAGGAATCTAAGTGTTCGTGTGGCTGTGCCTATGTCAACCGCACACGGGCTTACTGCGTCTGCGCTTGCCTCGTAGTCGTTGCATCCAGAGATCCATTTGTTGCCCTCATACTTCAGATTGGACAGCTGCCAAGACTTTCCGAGTTCACACACGCAGACACCTGGAAGGGCATATCTGCATACGACGTTTTCTGTACATACGCAGGACGCAAGTCAACGTGACTTCAAGCAAGTAGCCCTTCGTTCATGTTATTCCCGAATTCAGAAATCGTTGCTTTGTTGCATGAGCCCCGGTGTCCGAAGCGAGGAGCTTCCTGATTGTCCTTCGTCTAGAGTCGAGAGCCTAAAGATGCTTCTACAATCGTCGTAGATCCTGCCGTGGTGCTTCAGTCTTCAGTACTACCACAGCAAGAACAGCCAGCACCGTCATACTACTGGTGCCACTGCCACTGCCGCCACCACTACCAGCACTACCACTACCACGACCACACACCACCACCACCACCACTACCACCACCACTACTACTACTACTACTACTACTACTGCTACTACTACTACTACTACTACTACTACTACTACTACTACTACTACTACCAGCACTACCACTACCACCACCACCGCCACCACCACCGACGACTACTACGACGACCAGCCGGCGACTAGATTGACCCACGAAGGTAGCCGACAACCGAAGTATCGCGACCACCACTTGGACCTATGTACACGAGCAAGATGGCTTAGATTCACGTCGGCCTTTGCGGCCAAGACTCGGTGTAACCTCAGGCCTCGTCCCATTGAATAACCATTCAACATGTTCCACCAGTACCGAAGCATGTAGAATATTGAACTCGCAGCACATTCCAACCCCGCACGGACAAACCTGGAACACTCTCGGAGGTTCTTCAAACCTCCTTGTCCGACATCGCCGAGCATGCCGAAGTCACCTTGCTGCCTGGCTGCTGTCGGTTTCGCAGGCTGCGAGCCCCGTGAACCCTCCAGTCCGATTCAGGGCAGCTCCGGCGTTCGGCAGAAGTAGGGGCCCTCTCTGTTTCCTCGGACCCTTGTCAGCGTCCGAGCGGACTTGACAGCAAACTGTCGGTCACAACAAAGCCCAGATTGAGTGGATAACCACCCGGAGGTGATCAAGACAGATTTTGGTGTCAAGCCTGCAAGTCCTGAAGACTGAAGCACTGCAGACCCTGAACCGATAACCCTCGTAAAGGGGCCGGTAGGGTCTGCTCTGGTCGTTGTTTTGAAATCTTGTAGCAAGCCTTGTTACCATCGCTTCGGGCAATTTCTTGCCCCAGGCAGAGGTCCCTTCGACTGCTGGAAGCTTTGCCGGAGCAGATGGAGATCAGCCACTAGGACCCAGAGTAGGCCCTTATTCCCTTTTTTAGGGTTCAGGTTCCCTTATATAAGCCCCTTTAAACCAAAAAGGGCATCCTTTTTATGCCTGGGTTACTCTTGGGTCTTGGCCAAGGCCCAATAGAATCACGAAGAAAGGAGAAGGGGAAGTTCGACCTTGAAGACGTTTTAAGGACAGTGAGTCATCAGGACCTCATGGTTCCTCAATTACACGTCCACAACATGCGTGGCAAGTTTGCTGAGGGGCGGTTCGAGTTGGAGGCCCAGTTTCGGCACGTGCATGTTGTGAATCGCACAGAGGATGCCTCAGGAGTTTGTACCCTTAAGGATTTGATGGCTGATTGTCCAGGGACTGAACCGATTCCGGAAAGTATCTGAAACGAGGACACTATGTGCATGGCGAACCCCAAGATATGGGTTCATGACATAATTTTACTTATTGGCTTGGTCAAATGGCAGCTTCAGAAAACGTGGGACCAGACTATGGGACGTACCAAGCAAGTCCGAACTTGGGTTTGACGCATCAAGACTCGGCCTGGCATGTCCCAGAGCGAGCCGCAAAAACAGGACCACGAGTAATATAGGGGCCTAAATAAAAACCAACGCTATTTTGGTGGGCTCCTTATTTCAAGCATAGTACAAAAATGGGCCCATTGTTAAGGCCCCTATATGAAGCAACCCCTATATCAACACTAGAGACCTTCGCCAGAAGCCTGAAGTACTTCTCCCGGCGAAGGGCGTGCTCCCCAGCCGGGCGCAAGGTCAATGGCACAAGAGGCCGCTGACAGGGACAGCGAGATGTAGAATATGAAAGTCTGCACAATTCCCAACTGTTCCGAAAGGTTTAAGAATACATGCTAAAAATCAATAAAATATACCCCATATCCCGATTCTGATCATGAAAGTCTCATATTAGGCCATTAGGCTTCCGATTCATTTAGTGTAGGGCAGAGTTTAGGGCTTAGGGTTTGAAATTGTGGGTTCGAGGTTTGGGGTTTGGGGTCTTCGGGGGGCGAGTGCGTGAGGATGGGTCGAAGGCTTGGGATTTAATTAGAGAGTATACAAGATGATGCTACGGACGACTGGATCTTGGCAGCTAGAGCAAGCCGTTGGCCGGGATCTTTGGGGGTAGACAGTGTGTCACACGAACGAGGAGAAAAATTATAATCCCCGCAAACCAACGGCTGGAAGAAGGACGAAGCTTGCGGCGGCGCGCGCAAGCCAACATGGTGGCCGGAAGAAGGTGACCCTCAGTCTCAGCAAGGACATCCTGTTCGGTTTACGGTTTGGGGCTTGGGGGCTGCGTGCGGCAGCTTGGGTCTCAGTTGCCCATTTTCGGCCTCAGTCGGGATGAGTGGAGGTCGTGGTTTGTCTAGACTCTCGGAGGGGATCGTGCATGGCATGTAGCGCTGGCTGGTACTGGTAGCTGCTTCGGCTTGGCAGCAAAGAACAGCCGACAGCTCAATTTCTTGGGTATTTCTCGTCTTGAAATCAAGATCATTGGAGGGTTTTATGCGACTGTTCCCTCGCCGTGATGATCTGTTTGGAGTCAGCCCGAGTGAGGGGTGCAAGCCACCAAGACCGACATGTTTTTGTGAGGGTGCGATCTGCCAAGAGCATTGGGCAGCAAATCCAATTGACACAGTCGGTCGGGGAGTGGTCCTATGTTATCTTGGGAACCGTTAACATTCCTCATTGGTTTCTCCCTCCCAGAAGCCATCCAGGTGCTGTGGGAGCTGCTTTCCAGTCTTCTCGTGTCCAGGACGATTGCAAGGAATGTGTCGGTATCGTTTTGCGAGGCAAATGCTGAACTGAATGTGGCGCCCTGTGGGCCATCCCCCCGCTCCCAAACATTTTCCTTCCACCCCCTGAGGATTTGATCCCTATTTCCAGTAGTACGAAGGGTGACGGCGATTAAGTGGCTAGAAGGGAAAGAGAGGCCGCTGAGGAATTTAATTGGGGTCTAGGTGGGTTCAAGAAGCGGTGAGGGTTTGGTTGGTGTTAACAGCAAGAAGCGTTTAGGAGAAGCTTCAAGCCTGCTAAAATCCTCGGCAAATGCTTCAAAACCGTCCAAAATCATACCACAGGTGCATGGGCCTCAACAAATGCTCCAAGGCCCGTCAAAAGCCAGCCTGCGGTGCCTCAAAATCTGCAAAAACAGCTGCAGATCCCTTCAAGTCATGCCTTGGGCCTAGTGACTCGTGAATCCTCCGAAAACGTTCCGAAACCCTTTCAACGTTCAGGCCTTCCTGATATCCTCTGCTTGGTCAAGATTGACCAACGGCGGAAAATTGTTTTTACAAAGAATCGACCGACTTCTTTCCGCATTGAGACGGCGCCCGAAGACATGCCAAATTCTGTGCAAACCCTGGAAAATGCATTAGATAGGGTGCCGCATTTAACACACAGTGCCACTTCAGCACAAGTCGCTGGCAGTAGGAGGTACTGTACCGGTGTCGTCACAAAGACACAAGCACGACCACCACTGCGGCTACTGCCGTTACTGCCGCTGCTCCCACAGCCGCCGTCACCACCACCGCCACTACCACCACTACCACCACCACCACCACCACCACCACCACCACCACCACCACCACCACCACCACCACCACCACCACCACCACCACCACCACCACCATATGAAAGACGTCCACGACGACCAACTACTGCTTTTGCTACTCTACTCCTACTACTACTGCTACTACGACGACTACGACCACCATTACCACACTTGCTTGCTGAAGGCGGCGTAGGAGTAGTAGCCCGTGCTCAGCACAAACCGCAAACCGTGAGCCCTTCAGCCTGGACATGTGAGAATGGAAATTGGAAACCAGCTCCGGCCAGCTTAATCGGCTGACTGTTTGCCTTGTTGGCGAGGCTGCTTCGTCTAGAACTGTTTCTTGCTCGAAGGGTTACTGTTGGTCTGTGCCTTCTAGAATGCGTGGATCTCGTGGTTGTTGCAGGAGGGCAGGGACAGAGCAGCTCCGCAAGAACCTCCCGGCAGCTGTATTCAACGCTGCTTGGCCTGGCTTCATGCTTGCCACCTTCAGGCTCGTGCACAAACTTAGAGTGTTCCAGCAAGGTCTGCGGAAGCAGAAACTGCCAGTGTGCCCGTGTGGACACCAAACCGTTAATCCAGGAGCACTGAGCAGTAAGCAAATGCGTACCAGAATTTGGCAAGACCACGATGGGCACCCCAGAACATGCACTGCCCTATGGCGGGAACACGAGTCCCGCACAAATTCTGCGCACAACGTTGGCAGGAGCACGATTGTTATGTTGAAAAGCAGAAACACGAGCCACAGCCTCTGTGTGAAGTGTGCATGCCGGGCAAAGACACGCAAATCAGCAAAAGTCTCGTACTTACAGGTGTGTAGGCATGCGCATCATCCTGAATCAGCTGTCAGAACCTGGCAATACCAGCACAGGACCTGCATTGTCGATGCTTGGAAATCCCTGTGGGCCGAGGAGGATCCAGTCGTGGCCAGCCGCCATCTGCAAAGAACTCTCGTTTTCAATCTGTATAGATGGGAGCCAAGTAACAGGCGATCTTGATGCCGCCATGCACCATTTTGCGACAACGAGTTCATCTTCATGCTAAATGCTGGATGCTGAAAGTGATGAGTTGCTTCAAAAGCCTGCAGCTGCTACTATGGCGGCTCCCCCCGTGCTCGGAAGTAAGTCAATGAGCCCGGGACATGCGCCCTTTGATCCCCGCGCCCCACCTCTCAAAACCCTGACCGGCTGTGCAGCGATCTCTTCCAGTAAGACCTCTACAGAGTTTCATGTCAATAGTCCACAACCCACCGTTCCCATACCGGGCCCCGGTGCACAAGCAATGTAGCGGCCTCCGAGCTGCCAGGGTGACAGATATGTGCTGATCGTCGCTGGCGAATTGTGCACGTCATACAAGGGATAGTCAACATGCAAAGTCTTGTCAGGGCTGGAAGGGAAAAGGAGTCGCTGTCCCAGTGATCCACAGCTGCGCTGAGTAGCTGCGTGCTGTGCATACACAAGCAGTGCCAAGCATCCTGCCTCGTATATGGTACGTAGGTTGTATACAGTATATACTCAGAAAGTCAGATGCAAACAGTGTGTATGTGTACAAGTGTCTATTTGGATATATACATATATAGAGAGAGAGAGAGAGAGAGAGTTATCTCTACACATATGCACATAGTCAGAGAGAGAGAGAGAGACAAAGAGAGCATATCTATCTGTCTCGCCTGTCTATCTGACTATGTACCTATCTATCTATCTATCTATCTATCCGTATGCGTGTATATCGTACATCTGCATACGTATTGTATGTGCATATGGATACATCGTACTTTCAATGGACCAACCATTCAACTCAAATCGTTACGACTACTTAGTCTCTATATCAGGGTTGCGTGTTCATGTCCAACAAGAAATGTTTAGAACAAATTAGGACAACTTTAGGAGTTCTAAATATTCCAAAAGTCAGCGAACTAATGTTTTTGAGTTTTAGGACAAATCCTGAACATGTGGTGATCTGTCTTGGAATTCAGAACGTCCAGAAAAGTAAGATCCCTAAATTCTCGAAATACGGGGGATGCGTCAGAAGTCCCCAAACTCCAAAGCCAACATGGGAAAGTGTATGAAAAACAGGTTAGAAATTTCGGTATTACAAAGATTTTTGTCGGAATTCAGGGAATTCAGGAATTGCAAAAGAACTTAGTCGCACAGGTTTTGGAATTTCCTGAATTTTTGGCATTTCGCAAAACTTATCCCCAAACTCTCTTCTTCTCTCCCACTCCCTCTCCCTCTCTCCCTCTCCCTCTCGCTCTCTCTCTCTGTCTCTCTCTCTCTCTCTCTCGCTCTCTCCCCGTCTCTCGCTGTCTCTCTGTCTCTCTCGCGTACTCATGGATCTCTGTGTGCGTGTGTGTGTGTAGACTTGTTTGGTACTTCAGCCATGTTCGAGCTGCTTTGAACAGTATGTAATTAGTTCTGGATTGAATTTTCGCGAATAGTTGCTT